AGTCAACATCTCGTGAGACACTTTCTTCATATATGGTATCAGAGCCAAGTGATGAATCCAAGTCTAACAGATATTCATTGAACATCAGCCCATCACCTGCTTCCACTGAGGTATAAATTTTTTATATATATATATATATATATATATATACCCAACTTGATGAAGATTCTGTTTCTGGGAGAAAATTTTTCCCTCGTTCGCAAACAAATGTGAAAATTTATTTTATTTTTACTGTTTGTTTCTTTTTTTTTTTTTTTTTTTGTGTTATTTTTTTTTGTGTTATTTTTTTTTGTGTTATTTTTTTTTGTGTTATTTTTTTTGTGTTATTTTTTTTTGTGTTATTTTTTTTGTGTTATTTTTTTGTGTTATTTTTTTTTGTGTTATTTTTTTTTGTGTTATTTTTTTTTGTGTTATTTTTTTTTGTGTTATTTTTTTTTGTGTTATTTTTTTTTGTGTTATTTTTTTTTGTGTTATTTTTTTTTGTGTTATTTTTTTTTGTGTTATTTTTTTTGTTATTTTTTTTTGTTATTTTTTTTTGTTATTTTTTTTGTGTTTTTTTTTTTTTTTTTTTGTTTTTTTTTTGTGTTATTTTTTTTAGTTTTTTTTTTTTTTTTTAGTGTTTTTTTTTTTTAGTGTTATTTTTTTTTAGTGTTATTTTTTTTTAGTGTTTGTTTTTTTTAGTGTTTGTTTTTTTTAGTGTTTGTTTTTTTAGTGTTTTTTTGTTTGTTATTTTGTTTTTGTTTTTTGTAAACTTATTGTTGCTTTTTTTTTGTCAATCATCTAATTTTTCATCCAATTTCTGTTGCTTTTTATTCTAAAATTCTATGGCATATGTTTTATTTTAAAACATTTATTGTTTCAATTTATCTAATTTAGTGAATTCATTAATAGTCCTCATAATCCAATTTGGCAGCAACTACAACAGACAGATGTATATCCCATGTAAAAGCTTTATTCCAACTCTCAATATATAACAACAAAAACTATAACAAAAAGGAAGTTAATCATCTCCCTGAAAGTGCTTAGTCAGTTATTTTTAATTATATTTTTATTTTATGCAACAGAATAGATTAAGAATAAAGAACTTTAGCAAGAGTTGAATATTCATTCCTTTTCTACAGCAAATCTACCTGTCCAAAGCAGCTGCCTAACTGATTAAGCTACAAAGACTTAATGGGTTGCAAAAACTTCAATCTATGCTCCTTACATATAACTCTAGAATGATAGTTTGGAAATTAGAATAAAATAATCAGATGGACTATAAAAGGAGCCTGTCAATGAGACAAGTCCATTGAACATTTAATGATTTATTGGATGAAATAAATTTTAGTTAGAATTAATGCATCTTTAGTCTTTTATGGTTTTAACAATTAATAAAAGCTTTAAGCTAATTTTGCACATGACAGAATGGTTAAAACATTTTTATGTTAATGATCTGGAGAGTGGCACCATTGAAAAGGTCCTGAAAACCATTCCGTGTATTGACCTAAGCCTAAGTGAAATTGGGTAGACAGAACCATTCAGAAACTAGCATAATGTCACAAGTCATTGTGACTGAGGATTTCAGCCTACTAGTATTGCTCAAGGACTGTTGATCACACCACAATTATGCACACTTTCTCAGAAACCAAATGAAGTCTGCTTGGTGTAGTTGCAGTATAAATGACAGGTGGGCTCTGTGGGTGTAGAATAAACAATGTGCCTGAGCAAGCTTCTGCAACAGGGATTGGGTAGCTGCCCTAGCAGTGTGCTTGTTAAATGAATGGCTTGCCCTTATAAGTTAATGATGATAACTTATTTGCTGAATCAGTTATAATTTCACAAGCGAAAAGCAAGAATTCTGAACAAATCCATGTTTATAGATTTTTAAATAATCCATAATATAGAAAATGAGAATAGAATGAATTCTTTTGTGCTATTTTTTTTCAGTATGATTGCTGTATTAAAAGGAAATTGGATATTAGGAAACTGGGAATACAAAATGTTCAATGAGCTCTTTCAGTGAATATAAATCATCATGCAGTTTGTTTGGTTTTTATTACTGAATTTGATATCAGATAAAGGCAATGATATCAAAATTGGTATGTGCATGATATATATATATATATATATATATATAATTTTTTTTTCTTTTCAAGTTTTGGATTGCATTATTTAGATTATTATATATAAAATCCAGTAACTTCCATTAGTCCATCCATTACATGCTCTAAAATAGCCATGCATTGTCAGATCAAAACCAATTTTTTTTTTGGGGGGGGGGGGTGAACAGGTAAGCAGGGTACAAAGTACAGTTGGTTTTACTAGGGTGCATAGCTTACAATAAATTTGCATTCATTTTTTTTATTAACATACAAAATACTCTATTTTAAAAACAATTTAATGATTAAAATAACAAAAAATAATTTAATAAAAATGCAATATTTTTTTTGTTTTTTTGCATATCTTTTATATATATATATATATATATATATATTATTCTGTTAAAATATAATGTGCATTAGCATCACTGTAAATATAAACAGAGTAGGGTGAGTAGAAAATTCAATAATGCTAAATACTGTGAGGATTTCAGTACACATCAGTATTGCAAAAAAATTCTACTTTCATCGTATCATTTCACCCACAAAAAGCCACTAAGATGCAGGGGGGTAACTGATTGTGAAAGAATTAGAGGAAAAGAAAACATTATTAAGGAGAAGGAACAATAAAAAAACATGATCATAATTGACACTGCATTTAAATTTTTGAAGTTGATTGCAAAGCAAAAATCCAGAAGAGTTCCACAAGCGAGAAGTGTGAGAGAAGAAACTATTAGCATAGAACTTAGTTAGTTTTAGTCATTTAAACTGTAAAATGATGGTACTTTTTAGGTACCAAAAAGGAAAGCTCATCCAAACTGATAATATTGCAGATTCTTTTGGGGATTCTATGAAGAATCTCTGAATACAGAGCAGAAGCACCAAATCAGAAGTGTCAGCAATATTCGAAGTATGGATGAAATCTTTTTAAAAAGAAAATGAAAGTATTGCTTGATCAGGTGTTTGTGGATGTGCAGGTGGTGTAATGGATAACGGAATAAGAAATTAGAGCCGAGTTCAAATTCCAGTTTTTGTTACATTCACTTACGTACAAATACACTTGGGGAAAGTATGAATCTATCTCTTCTCTCCCTAGCTATGGGTTAAATAGTAGGACATCTATCTGGAAAATTTAAATGCAGTGTCTACCATTATAAGAGTGAAATCAGGGTGAAAATGGAGCACTGTTGCTATATTTGTGCAGGAGTTGCCCAGACCTCACTTTCCAGTCTTGATAGTCCAAAAGTGTCTCCAAGTCCTTGTGGGAGAAGAATTATTTTCCACCCTCCAACCTCTTTCTTACATGTGGTGAGTCTCTCACTGCTTTATTACTACTACCATGGAAAGTGCTCGGATGAACTACATCTCCTGGTTCCACTAGATCAGATCTTCACAGCTAGGAGCCGCTATGCCATTTACTTAATAGCACATCACCTCCATTCCTGCTGTATTCTATTGGCGAGAAGGAAGTTTCACTCAAACAGCTTCCTCTCGTGAACCACTGACTTTTTAGATGAGGTTTCCCTGATCACTACAATCTTAACCTGTTCAAGTCCAGAGTCAACTGTTATCTTCCCCTCCCATCCATATAAACTACTCCTTATTGTAACCCTCTACCTGGAGTTGCCCCTGAGCCTTGTACAGAGTAAACATTACTTAAAAAAAAAAGTTTTTTTTTTTTTTTTTTAGACATGGATGAATAAATAGTCAAAACATATTATTGTAAAACCAGCTACAGACATGTTTATATAGGTACCTCCACGAGATCGCTAAAAAAAAAAGAGCATAGCATGATGAAAAAAACGCCAAACTTGACGAAAACAAAATTTTATCATCTAAATGTTTATTATTAAGAGGAAAGATCAAAGTTTATTTTAATTATTTTAAAAAATTTTTAGAACAATCTGAATTTTCATTTAAAAATCCTTGTTTCTCTTTGTATCACCGGAACTAGTAAAATAACATATACAATTTTTAGTACTTTTTTTTTTTTGGTATGACACACATTAATTTGGAAAATCTTGCAAAAATAAAAATAATTGTTGGATGTTAATGAAACTTTCAGAAACTATTCACAGATGATCGAAATTATTATAAATGTTTCTTTTTTTATTAAAGTCATGGCAGAAATATTTTTTTTTATATTTATTACCCCTGTCCCAACTAATTTTATGAAAACACTAGAAATTCGATTGAGTCCACTTTAGTAATTACAATAGTTAAAAACACAAGGCTTTGAGGAATGCAAATCATGTTGTTTTTTTTTTTTAATTGGACCTCCCTACCTGAAAATCAGCTCTGAATTGTAACATACAAAAGTCAATAAAACAAATATATTATTTAATTTCAAATGCTTTTATGAATATGGACAATATTTTCTGAAAGCAAAAAAATTTTTCAATGAAAAATGAATTTTTAATAATTTATTTTTTAATTATAATAGATTTTTACATTTAATTTTTTAAAACTATTATAAAATTAGTTAAAAGCTGCATCGGGTTTCCTAAGTCTCTTTATGAGATAGATCTTTTTTTTTAGCGTATTGTAAATTGTATCGTTTTGACTAATCAGAAAACCTGCAGTAATTAAGAAATGTAATTTTGTGTTTATAATCAGGCTCTAATTATAAAGTATGGATGACCAACCAGAATACAATTAAGTTAAGGTAGGTACCTCCACGAAATCGCTAAAAAATGAGCATAGCTTGCTGAAAAAGATGCCAACCTTGCCGAAAACAAAATTTTATTGTCTAAATGCTTATGTTATTATTAAGAGGAAAGACCAAAGTTTTTTTTTAATTATTTTTAAAAAATTTTCCTTTTTAGAACATTCTAAATTTTGATTAAAAAAAACCTTGTTTCTATTTGTATCATGGAACTAGTAAATAACATAGACAATTTTTAGCATTTTTTTTTTGGTATGACACATTAATTTGAAAAATCGTGCAAAAATAGAAATAATTATCGGATGTTAATGAAACTTTCAGGAACTATTTACAGGTGATCGAAATTATTATAAAATATTTTTTTTTTTTATGAAAGTCATGGTAGAAATATTTTTTTAAAATATTTATTACCCCCCCATAACTAATTTTATGAAAACGCTAGAAATTCGATCGCATCGGTTTTAGTGATTACAATAATTAAAAGCACAGGGCTTTGAGGAATGCAAATCATGTTTTTTTTTGTTTTTAATTGGATCTGCAGTACCTGAAAATCAGCTCTGAATTGTAACATACAAAACTCAATAAAACAAAGATATTATTTAATTTCAAATGCTTTTATTTGCTTTTAGTTGTTTTTATGAATATGGACAATATTTTCTGAAAGCAAAAAAATTTTTCAATGAAAAATGAATTTTTAATACAATTATTTATTTCATTAATTATAATAGATTTTACATTTAAGTTGTTAAAATATTATAAAATTAGTTAAAAGCCGCATCGGCTTTCATAAGTTTCCTTATGAGATAGATCTTTTTTTAGCGCGTTGTAAATTGTATCATTTTGACTAATCAGAAGATCCACAGTAATTAAGAAATGTAATTTTGTGCTTATAACCGAACTATAATTATAAAGTACGGAAGACCAACCAGAATATAATTAAGTTGCGTTATTTGAGTTAAGCATTGTTCTCCGCTGTTAAGGCCTTTACTTTTGCGAAACACGTGTGGAGAAGTTAATTTGATTTTTCAATTTCAACTGAGAAGGGTACCTACAAGTATCAGTATCATCTTATGAAATTTATATGATCTTATTTTTATATTAATCTCAGTTACGACATTTTTCCATAAATGAAATATCAAAATTAATAATAAAATGAATGCAAATACAAATAACAGTAAAATGTAATAAATGTACATAAAATTGTAGTATTTTATGTACAATTCTGATAAAATTTCATAAGAAAGGTACCTATAAACTAATTAGATACCTTTCTTAAGAAATATGAAATTTAATGTCACTCTTAACAGTTTTATTTTAATTTCTTTAGAATATATTTCCCATAAAGCATCATAAACGTAAAGGTGAAAGCTAAGTACAAAAAAAAAAAAAAATTAGACCGCTGAAAGTTTTCGTTAAAAATAACGAGGTAAATAATTTGTTCACGTAAATGTAAATTATTTCACTTTTCTCCTTCCGTAGAACAAATTAGCCTCATGGAATTCGTAAATATATCATTCATCACATGTCAAGAGACGCGAAAGTTTATGACCTGCTTTGTTTTATTTTCAAATTACATCTTTTTGGCACAAAAGCTAAGTTAAGTTTGGTTCAAAATATTTTAAAGAAACATAATTTCTGATTTTCTTAAAATAAGTTTTGAAAAAATGATAATTGATATTTAAAAAAATTTCAAAGTGAGATTTCCAGTTTTTTTTAAAATGGAAAAAAATGGTCAATTTTACTGACTCAAAAAAAACTAGATTTTTAACGAAAATTTCGGACGTGCTAGGAATGATTAAAAAATGGAAAAAAATACCCCAAAAATACTTTGACCTTTCCTCTTAATAATAACAAACATTTAGACGATAAAATTTTGTTTTCGTCAAGTTTGGCGTCTTTTTCATCATGCTATGCTCTTTTTTTAGCGATCTTGTGGAGGTACCTAAGTTAATGACTTTACTTTTATGAAATGCGTGTGGAGAAATTTATTTGATTTTTCAATTTCAACTGAGAAATGTACCTACAAGGATCAGTAACAGCTTATGAAATATATATGATCTTATTTTTATATTAATCTCAGTTATGACATTTTTCCATAAATGAAATATCAAAATTAATAATAAAATGAATGGAAATACAAATAACACAGTAAAATTTAGTAAATGTATATAAAATTATAGTATTTTATGTACACTTCTGATAAAATTTCATAAGAAAGGTACCTATGAATTAATTAGATACCTTTCTTATGAAATTTAATCTAACTCTTAACAGTCTTATTTTAATTTCTTTACAATATATTTTCCATAAAGCATCGTAAACGTAAAGGTGAAAGCTAAGTACAAAAAAACAAAAAAAAAAATTAGAGCGCTGAAAGTTTTCCTTAAAAATAACGAGGTAAATAATTTGTTCACTTAAATGTAAATAAATTCACTTTTCTCCTTCCGTAGAACAAATTATGATCACATAAATCTGTCAATGTCATTCATCACCTGTCAAGTGATGTGAAAGTTTATGACCTGCTTTGTTTTATTTTTAAATTACATCTTTTCGGTGCAGAAGCTAAGTTAAGCTTGGTTCAAAATATTTTAAATAAACATTATAATTTCTGATTTTCTTAAAATAAGTTTAGAAAAAATGATAATTGATATTTAAAAGAATTTCAAACAGATTTTCATTTTTTTTATAGAATGGAAAACATTGTTGCCATCTGTCAATTTTGCTGACTCAAAAAAAAAAAAAACAGATTTTTAACGAAAATTTTGGACATGCTAGGAATGATTAGAAAATGTAAAAAATACCACAAGAATACTTTGATCTTTCCTCTTAATAATAACATAAACATTTAGATGATAAAATTTTGTTTTCGTCAAGTTTGGCTTCTTTTTCATCATGCTATGCTATTTTTTTAGCGATCTCGTGGAGGTACCTATGTTTATATGTCGATCTTGATTCTTTTTATACCCTTCTGGGCTTGAAACAAGGCCACTTGTCAACTCATATGTCTGGTAGAGGTGTTAGCCACCGCTCAGGTACTTCGAGGTGCCTCAGTTTCTTAGTTACTATATTAAAAACAAATAAAAAAATTTTCTGAAAATGAAATGTTTTTCCAAAAATAATTGATGGGGAAGGAGTTAATGTCCTTATAGAAATTCTTAAGTTTCATGCAAGACTTTAAAAATGTGAAATGCTTTTTTTTATTTTTTTTTATTTAATGTTTTAATTGTCTGTTTTAAATTGCAACTGCTTTATTACTTCTGTTATTATTTAAAGCCTCTATAAAAAAAAAATGCTGTTTCTTCATAACCAGGTGGTTCAATTAAAAAGTAAAACCTGTTTTTCATTTTTTTTTATTTTTTTTTTATTCTGTCAGGAGAATGCAACAAATAAACGAAGTAATGACTATCATTCTTGTCCAATTAATGAATGGAACCCTGAACATGTCAGCCAATGGCTGCTCAGTTTGGAGATGGATAAGTATAGCCAGGCTTTCACAGACAAGCTGATTGGTGGCAAAGAACTTCTGTTAATCGATGGTGCAAAACTTAAGGTGAGACTCCTGTTTAACGCCTCTGCCGGCATCATTATAATAATAATAATTCCTCACTTAATAACCTGGGTGCTGAACGAATAGATTGCTAAGTGAGAATTTGTATCTAGCCACTCTTCTAGGCATACAACGAATGTATTGGGTTTGTGTCAACCACATTCAGGTAGCTTTAATGTCACTTTTGCACCATTTAGTAACATTTGTAGATGTATATACGCTAGTGTACTAAACAGTAAATGTAATAAACAAATTCAAAAACCAACTCTATATTATTCACATTGGCTTGCATATTGTAAAAATAGTACATTTATTTATTTATTTTTTGCTTTATTTATTTTGATTCATTTTTAAGAGAAAAAAAAAATCACAAAGGTTTTAAACACCATACAATACCTACCGGATGGATATGTTTTTAAAATTTTCATTTTATCAGATTTTTATTGTTGGTTGTAACTTTGGGGGTTGTTAAACAGGTATATCAAGTGAGGAGTGGCATTATTATTATTATTATTATTAGTGCTAGTAGTAGTAGTAGTGATATTTGATTCTAACATTTATTGCTAAAATTGTGATATAACAATTTTTTTTATTTTGTCATTGTCTCATTAAATGTTTAATGTTATGATTGTTATTTATGATGAATGTTATGCTTTTATTATTTCATTTGTTATTACTTGCAGTAATTTTTTTATTATAATTGCCATTAGTATGAGGCTGACATATTATCTCTCTCTCTCTCTATATATATATATATATATATATATATATATATATATTAGTGTAAAGCTTATATATCATAAAGAAGCAATTTATACAAAGAATTAGCAATGTTAATGTGATTAATGGTGAAATCACTTTGCTAACAAGACTTAATGAGTCATTAACTTATTAAAAATTCCTTGAATAATACAGTCCTTATACTTGAGTTTTTGTCAGAATTTATGGGACAAATACTTTCAACAAAAAAAAAAAAATGGCAGCTTTAGTTTAAGTAAATTAAACAAAGAAATATGTGTAGAGTAAACCAAAAGATGTTCTTTTAAATTATTCTATTTATTGACAGTTAAATATGTTTTGGAGCAATGGCGTGATGCTAGAGTTCTTGTTCAAATCAATCAAGTGAGAATTTTGTTTGAATTTTTGTCTTAGTGTTTGCCTGTGTATGGAAACATTGTTTCCCAAAGATGACAATTTGAAATTGTCAAAAGTACATGGCATGTTAATGTCTCATAAAGTCTTGTTAACGAAGTGATTACAACATTAATCACATTAACATTGCTAATTAATTCTTTGTATAAATTACTTCTGTATGATATATATAGTTTTCTGCATTTACAAAGGATTATGATTTAAACTTGGACAACTGACATAAATTTTAGAAAATCTCAAAATTCCACAATAACTTTTAAAATTTACAAAAAACCTAAAACAATTAAAATTTCAATAATACCAAAAGAAAAAAAAAATCTGCAGATAATTTTATATACTCTAGATAAAGAGATAATTATAATTTTTCTATAAGAAATATTCTTTGAAATACACAGACTTCTGTACTACCATTTTTCTTGGTTTGCTTACATTTTGCAATGTGATAACTTTGAAAAAATAATAATTATGACAAATATATTTCAACTTGGTTGAAAATTTGGTATCGTCTGATGGATATTAACTTGAACATAATTGATTAATTGCATTAGAATCTATAATTGAACCTTGACTAAGAAGATAACTAATAGCAAAGTGTTTTTGAAGACTGCGCAAAAACTTTTTTATCATTTTCTTAAGAGCTTTAATTACAATGTAGTTAAATAAGTCACCAGTATTCTGAGAACTTAAATCGATTATTTGGTTACTTATTTTAGTGCATCAATTTAATTATAATTATTGCCACGTAACACAAGCAACAGTCTGTGTATTTAAACAAATTAACTGTAAATAATCAACAGTGCTATTTTATAGCCATCTGTTACTTATTGCCAACTGATACCGTTTTTTTTTTTTTTTAAATTGAGATAAGTAGTGAAGTAATAGTTTTAAGTAATCGGTTAATCGATATAAGTGCTGCATAATTTGTTGCATTTGAATATGACTTGTGTGATTTTACTTAGATAACAACTGAACAATCAGATAGGTAATTTCTACAAAGAGGTGCAGAAAAGTTCTTGGTGTAATTAAGAATTATTTTCATGGGTGGTAAAAAAAAATCAGCACTGTCATAGAAATATTTTTCACAAGAATGTCATTTGAGTGAGAGACATTATAAAGTTTGGTTTAAAAGATTTTTTTTTTTTTTAAATTAAGACTAGATACAAGTAGCAGACATTATAAAATAAAATTTCTTAATTTGGCTCACTTGTCCTCTTTTTTTTTTTTTTTTTTAAATATTTTTCTTGTTCAGTGTAATTATATTTAAATTATTCTATTCAAGAAGTAAAAAATATTGCTGATTCGGTCATATGCTGCTGTCAAATTTTTGATTATGGTTTTTTTGTTTCTGTAGAGAAAAAAAAGTCATCAAACTTGTTATGATTGATAAGATTTTCTTTATTTTACATTCATTGTTATACAAATTTTAATTTATTGTTTTTCTTTTTTTTCTCTTCTGCTTGTGTTTGCTGAAGGCTCTGGGCATGAACAGTAGTAATGACCGAACAATGATCAAGAAGAAAATTAAAGAAATGAAGACGGCTCTGGAGAAAGAGAGAAAGCAGATGGAGAGGGAACGTAAAGCAAAGGAAAAAGAACAGAAGAAATTATTAAAAAAGAAATAAAAATAGAAGTGGGTAGGGGAGAAAAAGAAAACAGAAAAAAAAAAGAAAAAAATGACAAAAGCCACCACAAACAAAACCTCTTAAAACTTTAACTTTTGAAAAGGACAACTGAAAACCATTTGTCCCTTATAAAAAGATGCAATGATATATTTGATAACACAAAACATAGTGTTAAACAAAAAAAAAAAATTCATCACAAGACCCCCTCTCCCCTCCCCCTGCATGATACTTGTCCTATTGTCGTTTCTGGCCTGTAGAAAAGCTGCTCCATTTTATTTCTTCCTCAGGGTGTACAGAACTTTCCTGAAGAAGATTGTATGTATGTGTGTGCGTGTGTGTATTTTGACTGGAGTGTCGGGGGGGGTCCACTTTCTTTTCTGGCTTTTGTCATAACTTACAAAAAAATTAAAAAAAATTATATATCATCTTTGTACCACCGCTACCGCCATCTGTGATCTCAGACTAAAAAAAAAAATACATAACATTACACTTTTGGGGGTGGGGAACTCAAAATTAGGGGAAAAAATGTCACAAACGGTATCAGTTACGAAGGGAGCTAACTCTGGACTTAAAATCATTTGTTCATTGGTTCCTTGACTATTTTTCTTCTCCACCAAGTGGCCTGATTTGAATCAGCTGCAGTTGTCTCCCTTGCCTATCAGGTGTGTGTGCGTGTATATGTATGTCAATATACACTTTTGTTGTTTTTTTAGGGTAAAAAGAAAAGTGAAGGGAGTAATTTATTTTTGAAGTCTGTCTCATAACAATCACCACCATTTATTGTCACATTATCCACCATTGTCTCCATCCCATTCTTTATTGTACAGGAATAGAAGCAGGTTTTTATATTAGCTATATTTAATGTTCAGAAAAGATTAAGTAAAATAAAAATAAGTCTGCTTCATAAGCAGATGCCAATTTTCTTGTTTTGAGAAGAAATATTTTCACCATTACAAATATTTTTGGGATAATTTTTTTTATTATTGTTGTTTTTATCACAATAGTTATTTTTTTTGCTGATCTGTTTTTATTAGTTAAACAGTTGAAATTTAGGTAAAAATAATCTTAAATCTCCCTTGTCTTATATTGGGGGGAATTTCATGAAGAACACTTAACTAGTAAGAAGACACATACATCAGGTTTCAATCAGCAATATGTTGGAAGAAAGGCAAAAGAACCAATTGCAGAAGACAAGACATGAACCTTCTGTTTAATTATGAGTTTTTGTTTCATAATTTTGATGTTATCCATGAAAGACAAATTATAGTTTTACTTACTAAATTATTCTAAACTAGTTTTCTTGTACTGTCAAAAAAAAAAAAAAAAAATGAGAGCTTAAGTAATTTTACAATTGCATTGGTCATATTTTCTGATATGAGTAATCTAGGATTTTTATTTGTATAACTAATTTTGTCACATGTAAGAATGAATTCTACCATTTTTAAATTATAAGTTACGATATCCAAAGAAAGTGAATATGAAATAAAAAAAAATCCAAAAATCAGAAGCATTAGAAACTTGGTCTTATTACATAGGTAATGGTAACATGAAGCAGGTTCACTTATTGAGTAATACTTCTTGTTACCATGACAACAGTATGCAAATAAGGGAGATACAATTTAAATTATTATTTATGTAATCTCAGAATGTTTTGTATTATAGAAAAGATTCCTACAAGTAAAATGGCAAATTTGGGGAATGAAATTGGTCACGTTACATGTTTAATTATTTATTAACCTTAAAAATCAGGTGAAAGTTTTTTTTTCTAATCAAGGATTGATTGTAATAATGCAACAAATGTAAATTTAAAAAAAAAAAAAAAATTTCTTTGCCGTAATGATAAATTTAAAACCTTTCTCACTCTGCTACTTTGAATTTGGATTCTAGATTAAAAACAATTGATTATTTTTGTCAAAGAAAATGAAGTCTTTTTTGCTTTTAACTAAAAGAAAACCTTCAAAATTTATTCATATAATGAAACTTATGTTGAAAATCTAAATGTTGAGTTAGAGCAAAATGACACTCATTAGTATGACTACAGAAAAGTTTTGATTGGAAAATTTCTATAAGATGCAAAAAAAGTGAACTTTTGGAATGCTCTTGATAGTCTATTGTAGTCAACACAATATTTAAATGCTGTCAACAATGTCAGTATAATTCTCTCTCAAAAACTGTTCATATTTCTGAATTAGTTCAATAGAATCTAAGACATTAATTTTGATTGCTTTTTGTTTTTAAATAGATATGTTGTCTTGCCAGGTTTGTTAGTAGCAAGATCTGTTCATGTACAAGGAACAAACAAATTCCTCATCTTTAGAAATGAAAAGAAATAAATATGAAAATAATAAGCATTAGTATTTGAGAATTCATTTTATAAATTAGTAATTCTGAACATTTTCATTGACACAAACACCCACTCACATTTTATATATATATATATATATATATATAAAGAAGTTGAAAATGCAACTGAAGTCTTAAGAATATTTATTTACAGTAACTTTACCAATTTCACAGTTCCAATTTTCAAAATTTAAGTAGAGGAATGTGTGGCTATGTCATGATATGTCTGTCATCTCAACTCCTAGAATTGGGAAACTGGTACTGTAAATAAATATTCGTAAAGACTCCAGTTGCATTTTCAACTTTTTTCTTTTATTTTTACCCATGTGGGGGATATATATATATATATATATATATATATACACACACACACACATACATACCAAATTTAGTTTCAGCTCTTTTGCTGTTATAATGCTATGGTTCTCAAAAGAAAATTCATATAATGACTTTTGGTTATATTTTGTTTGTTTTAAAGCTATTCCTATTCTTTTATAGGATGTTTTCCCTTTTTGCTGTAGGCTTGACCTTAACTCATAAAGACTTGTGTTTAAAATATGTATGATCACAATATTGAGCCTGGTCAGTATTTAGACAGATGACCGTTTGGGAATACAAGATGCTGTGAGCTTAGATGTGTTGGCAGTGTAATTGATAATGGCTTGGAATTGTTAATTGGAGAACTGAGTTTCGATTCCAGTTGGGTTTATTATGTTCACTTATGTGCAAATACCCTTGGAAAAGATATGAATCCACCTCTTCTTCCCCCAGCTATTGGTCAATTAGTAAAACGTGTATCACTAAAAATCATTATCTCAAAAAAAAAAAAAAAAATTTGTTAGAATGTAAAAATATTTTCTGGCTTAAAATAACCTGTAATGGGTTGATAAACCATCGAAAACAAATTAGTCAATCATTGTATTTAAAATAAGTTTCCTTGTTCAGTCATACAATTTCATTTTCACTTTAAACCATTGCCCGATTTCTGTTACGTCATAACCATAAAAAAAACATGAGATTGGAGAACAGAACTTAAGTATGAATTTAGTCTTTGGCATTGTCCAAGATGAGTTTCATCATTGTTTTATGGCACCCATTTCTACTGGTCAAAATGGCCTTATATTCTTGCAATATCAGAAATTAATGAAATGGTTAGCCATTAATGCTTATCTCCAATTTTCAGGGGGAAATAATTGCATCGGAGGAATCTTGAGAGGTTCCTGCAAGACTTTGGTTGAAGCTGATTCTGAAATCTGAATATTTCATTAAGTGATGACTTTTTTATTCAAGATAATAATAAATATAAATTGATATTCAAAACTTGTCTGATAGGATTTTAGTTGAGATGTGATCTATTTTTTCAATGAGCGAAGTTATTCACTTCTGTCGTCCTGAACTTAATGAAATAAGAGATTATTCATTAAATGTTATAATCACTTGGAGACTTAATCTGCTGATTATGATGATTTAGAATAGTTGTAGAAAAATATCAATAAATATCTATATAATTTTCAGACAATAAATTTGTACAATTAGATTTTTATTTGAAATCTTGGAAGAAATAACAAATTGTGAAAAGGGTTTTAAAAAAAAGTATGAATGACTTCGGTTTTTACTTTTTAAAATCAATGAATCATATCTATGAATTCAAACTAAATTGAAAATAACAGAGTAAAAATTAAAGCATTGTTTCGTTAAATTTAAAAAATATATTATTGTCAATTCATTAAAAGAACTTTATTTTTCAAATGTGCTAATTTTAAGATTGTTAAAAAAAATAATTAGGAATATTTTGTTAAAGCCAATGTGTTTTGGGGAAAAATTTATTTTTGGTGATTGTTTTCCTTGGTAAGTAAATAGTATATAATAAAATAAAAAAAATGAACAATTTTTTTTTTTTTTTTAATATATTAAAACTTATTCTTATCTTAAAAAATGTATTTATACTTTGTATAAACAATACTGGATTAGATGGAGATTTTCTCTACAAAGGAGGATGCAGATTTAAATGTTGCCAGAGAGTACATTTTCTTTAAGATTCGTATGCAGAGACATGTAAATGTAATACATACTATTGTTTTATTTTGTATTTTTTTAAACAAAGCAGTGTCTACTCAAGGATGTGCATCTACTAAAATATAAAGTTTGAAATAAGAAATCTTGTAGTTTTAGATTTGTGTCTAAATATATTTTTTGTCCCAGTCAGTTTTCTCTTGTTTCTGTTCTTTCGTGAAGAGAAACTGACAAATGGATTTTTACAAATTCCTTCATTTGTAAAGATTTATAATTTCCTCTCTTGCTATGTACCTATTTCTGTAATGGTAATTTAGTAATTATATTGTTAAATATAAAGTCTTATTTCAGCCTTGTAAACTTTCTATTTGATTTTCTCTAGATCAGGCTTAGTAATCATCTATTGGGCTTGTAATAGTGATGCTAAATTGTTTCTGTAATTAAAAAGGGAGGTTTCAAATGAAGATTTCCTTTCTTGGATGAAAGGCTTTCTAGAAATAGCAATATTAAGCATCCATTTGTCCAAATTGCATTCTGGGAAGGAAGTTAAAATCTTTAATTTATCTTTTTTCTTTGAGAATAAAATTTAATAAATGGGTACAAAAGTTTAAGAAAATTTTTCCATTTTTGAAATTTCATTTGTTTTTTTGCTGGGTTGAATTTCAAATTTGAATTGAAATTGTTAAATTCCTATAGTCAAGGTAAAGATTTTAGGGGTATAGTCTTTTGTGTATTGTCACTTCAGGATGTGGGTGATCGTGGCTCTCCACAACTTCCTCTCCTTTATTGCTTTAAGTAACTTTTGACTCTTTATTATCTCTCTTTATTGCCAGGCATATAGCCACATCACGTTGAAACACTGCTTCCCATACGATCACTGAAGTTAAGCAGTCAGTACCTAGATAGGTGACTGCTTGGGAATACCAGGTGCTGTAAGCTTGGATGTGCAGGTGGTGTAATGGATAATTGCTTTGATTTTTTAATCAAAGAACTAAGTTCCAATTCTAGTTAGGTTTGTTATATTCATTTATGTGCAAATATTGTTGGGAAAAGTATGAATCCACCTCTTCTCCCTCCAGCTATGGGTTAATTAGTAATATTTGTATCACTATATTATTATCTCCAAAAAAAAAGAAAAATTCTTCAAATCTAAAAGTATTTTCTGGCTTTAAAATAACCTGTAAAGGGTTAAGTTGTAGAAAAAGAATGAATCAATCTTTGTCCCTACTTTACACAAACTCATTAGGTATGATACTTGCTTCTTTCAGTGTTCCATGTGAGTGTTAAATTCTCCAGGCTTTCTTTTCTCATTGTGTTGGTTTTTTTTCTGATTTAAGTATAAGTGTTGTTTTAGTTCTCATTTTATTATGTTCAGTTCCTGCTATAGGGAGTATAGAATAATTTGTACTTGTTGTGGCATTCATCCAGGATTGTTTGAGCTGGCTCCACTAAATAAATTTGTTGCATCCTGAAGAAAAGCTGACCAAGCTTGGCAGTTGGAGTTTCAGTGGGTACTTCTATTCATGAGCGGTCCCCAGCCACATGTATACATTCTTTAGGATAGTGCAGTCCAAGCAGTGATTTGGTTAGTGCCAAAACATTTGCTTTCCACACCCAACCATTTACACATGTCTCCCCTGCAACCTACACATATATAAGTCCATCAATAAGATCCTTTTAATTTGATTGAGTCCTTTTAGAGGATGACACAGAATTTTCCCACTTTGTCATTCAATTACCCATCATATTTTAGTATAAGTAAGCAGTGTTTTTGTTTTTTTAAATATGCATAATTAGAAAAATACATTTTAGTTATTTCTTTAGAAAACACTGAGGTTTCTGATTTGTCATTATGTTTCTGCATTACTGTTTTTTTTTTTTTTTTTTTTTTTAAGTGTCTTAATATTTTGTGAGTCTTTTTAGAAATCAATTACAATTATTAGTTAATTAAAAAGTAAATATAAACTATGTTAATGTCACTTTTTTTCTATAAATTTAAATAATTCTATAATCCTTTGGTAGTTGTCTAGAACGTAGATAAATACAAAAAAAAAAATTGAATATTAATTGAAATACAGTGATCCCTCGTTTATCGTAGTAGATTGGTTCCAAGACCGACCGCGATAACTGAATTTCCGCAAAGTAGGGACGCCATATTTACAGTATTTAACATGTATTTGGACTTTTAAAACCCTCCCTGTACTGTTAACAACCCACCCATTACAGTACTCTATTAATAACAAGGACAACTGTCAAGAAATAACACTTTAGATTAAAAAGAAAAATAAAGATTGTTACTGTATTCAACACAAAAGAAGTTGAAGTAGAATTTGAATGATAATGGTGATGAATTTGCTGTGCAGTAGAAATGATGATGAAGCTGATGATGACTTCTATTGTGCAGCCGATAATTGTATTTTACGTCTATTCAGACAGCAGTGCCCTTTCTATTGCTATTTTACACTTGTTTTGTTGTTCCTAGACCAGGAAATAATATTTAGTATTAATATTTTAATGAAAAATTTTAGGTGTTCATATATATTGCGATTTTTCTAGAATTTTCCAGAAACTCCACAATATATTTTTTATATATATATATATATATATATATATATATATATTTTAAAAATCTGCAAAGTCATGAATCCGCGATAGTAAAATTGCAAATTAGCGAGGGATCACTGTATTAGTAGTGAACGCCTCCTGATATGCTGTATGTAGACCTTATTAAAAAAAAAAAATTCATATTAGAATAAAAAGTGTAAGGAGCCTAATTCTTTTTCTACTCAGTTCAAATTAGAAATGCCCAAGTAAAATAGATTAGCTTGAAACCTGTCTGTAGCTGTCTTACATGTATCTATGTTAGAATATTCTAGATGTCATTTTTAAGTCTTTTTTTCTGGACAAATCTCTTCTTGTTCAACAACTTCCTGATTTCTCTCTTTTCAGAATTCTTCTCCTTTCTAAGAAAACGTGTGAGTATGTCAGTGTATCTCTCAGCCTCTTTGCCTCAAAGTGCCAAAACTTTGTTTATATTTTCATTTTTGCCTTCACATTTTTTTTTACCAATACTATGTGTGGTGTTGCACCAAAAGCCGTTTAACTTTTAGTTATTTAGATGTCAGTTTCTTTTATTTTTCTTTTCTTTTTTGCTGTGCCACTTGTGCTTATAGTCTGCCTTTGTCTTTACTTTTGTTTGTTGCCTTTTCTAAAGTAAATCTTTAATGTTTACTGCATTTTCTGTACTTAGACATTGTTTCATACAATGTAGTGAAACTTAAAAAAAAAAAAAAATGAAACTGATATCAAATTCAAACTGCTTGACTAGGGTTCAGATTTTTCACCTGCTGATCAGTTTGTTGCTATTTACTTTTTCACTGCTGCATTGTTATAGCATTGTCACCTGGCTGTACAGGCCCATTTTGGGAAGAAATAGAAAATTGCTGAAGTCATTCAACATTGAGCCTAGTTAGTACTTCATGAGTGACCGCTTGGGAGTACCAGGTGCTCTAAGCTTGGATGTGCAGGTGGTGTAATGGATAATGGCTCGGAATTGTTAATCGTAGAGCAGAGTTCCAATTTCAGTCAGGTTTGTTATATGCACTTACATGCAAATACCATTGGGAAAACGATGAATCCTTCTCTTCATCCCTCAGCTAATTAATCAATTAGTAAGACTTGTATCACCGAATCATTATAATGTAAAAAAAAAAAAAAGGATTCTTACAATCTAAAAATATTTTCTGGCTTTAAATAATCTGCAATGAGTTAAGCTATAGAAAACAAATTAATCAGAAAATTGCTGTTTATTGGAAATAAATGACTAAAATGCTGATGAATCCTCAAGGGTGCTGCCATCAATTGCAGTTGATAAAAAAAAAAAAAAGAAAAAAAAACCTAACCGACAACACACAACATAATAAAAATGTCACAAAACTGGTTATATTTTATGCTACGCTATTATATATGAACACTGATTTGGAAATAATGCTAGGAAAAGAAATTTCAAGAAGTTTTGAAAATATATAAATAAATAATCCATGGGTAAGTAATCCAAGTGAATCCTATTAATATAAAATATTAAAACTGATCCACGAAAGAGAGCATAGAAATGACTTACATAAAAATGAAACTCACTTGTATCCCCATTTTTTACATGGCCATTTTGCTTCCCAGGATAAATTCCCTGGAGCTTGTCAATACTAAATTATTTGATTTTTTTTTTTTTTTTTTTTTTTTTTTTAAATTAAAAAAGGATAGAAAACAGAGGAACAAATAAAGGAAAAGGCATTTAAGAGGGAGATAGAAAAAAAAGGAAAGAGAAAAACCCAAGTAGAGGGGGGGGAAACAGAATATATATTAGTCTAGACAAGTCAAAAATTGTTGAAGATTAACAAGAGTTAACATTTTAAATATAGGTCATCTATATTTAAAATGTTAACTCTTGTTGGAATAGGAAAAAATTACATAAGAAAATACAATCATTAAAGTTAAGAAAAGGAAGAGTTTTAAAGGTAGTAGATGAAAGAAAAATTTTAATATTAAACAAAGGATTTAATATTATAATAAAAAATAAGATATTAGTATATAAACAAGAAAAATTGGAATATTAAAAATAAGTTAAAGGAAGTAATTAAAATAAATAGGTAACTAATAGCCCACATGAAAAGAATATATCTATCTCAACAGCAGGTAATGTACATTTTGTAAAGGCATATTAATATGTCTATGTCAGTAAAAGTGTTAATATATGAAGTTGGGTAATTTTCTTAGATTTCCGCAATAAGAAAAATACAAAAAATCCATTAGTTTCTATTTTGGTTTTAAATATTTGAATTTGTATAAACTATATTTCTTGAGTTATAAGTTAAAAAATGAATTTATAATAGGTAATCTTTTATGTATATCTACATCTCTTTAAATAGTAATTTCATGTTTGGGATGATTTGAAAATATGCTTTCCTCACTCATGAAGGTAAAAGGTCCTATCTTACAGATATAGGTGGCACTTTTGCTTTTGAGTAAGGGCAGTTGACACACCATGCTTAGCCTGCAATTTGATAAAGATTTCTGTCACAGACTATCTATTGAAATATCCTTATTCTAAAATCTCTCTTATTTCCAAAACTTAGAAAATGATAGAGGAAATTCTTTCAAGGAAGTTAGGAATAATTCTTGTCATTTTCTGGATAAATCTGTTAATAATTTTATGAATTTTCTTCAGTGGAAGTAATTTCGTCCAGAAAGACATTTCAAGTTTAGGCCAAGGAATTTTATATTTATGTGGGTCATTTTCTGTTTAAGACAATAAACTTAAAGTTTTGAAACTGTCATCTAGTCAAGCTAGCACAGGCATCTATGATATTCCTATGTCACCCATCATATTCCTACATCAAATTAAGGGGGTTATCCAAGTAGTATTCATTGTCTGAGCATAAATGGTTGATGTGTGTTGTTGCTGGTCAACTGCCCCATCATCGATGACAGTCCATTGTTTTTGGTGAAGACATAAGGAGATTCATCTCTGTCTGGCATTTTGACATGTGTGACGGCCATGTCTCCAGGCCAATGCTTGATGATAACTGACCAGCCTTGAGTGTTGTTACTCCAATATAAAGCATTTGGTGCCATGCTGGGTGGGGTCTGCAGCCAGCTCTTCCCAGTCATTTACATCAATCTGCATTGCTTTCAGGTTCCTCTTGATGAAGTTGTTATCGTAGAGTCATTGACTGCCTCACCAACACTTCCTGCACTTCAGTTCACTATACAGTGTGATTTTTCCACAATTGATGATCGTTCAAACAGTAGAGAGGTCCAGTCCATTGTAGTCTCATGCATGTATGCTCTGGCAAGAACTTTGGTATTTTTCTTGCCGGAGCCAATCCTTCAAATCAACCATTCACCCTTGCATGGAGTATTGCTGCCATATATAGTCTGATGCCCCTTCTGTTTGTCTCAAGGTTCTTGATAAAATCCAAAGACGGATATGCAATGTAATTGACCCTGATCTGGTATCTCACCTGCAGTTGCTCTTTCACAGACGTGCCGTTGCCTCCATCTGTCTTTTTTACAAATACTTTAATGGTAACTGCTCCAATGAGCTGCCTTTGCTGGTTCCCAGACTTCATGAATTTGAGTGTTTAACTAGGTTGACATCTCGCTCTCACCCTTTCACTGTCGAAACTGTTAAATGTAGCCGCCTCTTCTACTCTTATAGCTTCATGTCTCACACCTCTCGCCAGTGGAACTCCCCCTTGTTTCTTGTTTCCCTGATAGCTATAATCTCCAACTATTCAAATGTAATATCAATCTGTGTCTCCAGATGCCCTGATCTTATCCCCTATCCTTCTCTTCATCCTTTCCTCTATCACTCCTCTTTGCTCTTGTTCCAATTCTTTGTAACCCCTTGCATGCTAGTGGCTTCCTGCCTTGCTTGGGGTGAAATGCTTTTAAAAAAAAAAAAAAAAATGAACATTGTCTTTTCATGAGATATGAATGCAGGTGGTGGCAATATAAACATGTCAAGTGATTGATATCCTTGGGGCATAGTGGTGTAGATTCCAGGCCATACATCAAGTGTGAGATGCAAACTGCTCGATAAACCTTGTTATTGGTGACTAGTGTGACCATGTCCAGTGCAGTAAGTAGCTAGTGTTTAGCATGCCAGCGGTCTCCAGCAAAGCATCTTCATTGTTGGCAAATTATTTTTGGTATGTCTTGTAATTTGCCTTATAATTGGTTCTTTATGGGAGGCTTTTTTCATGACACATTCTGTGCAGCAATAAGAATAATCCATTTAGCATTGATTCTAAGGTCTGAGAATGTTGTACCATACAAAAGTGGTGCATAAGAAGCTGTATTTAATATTGTCTGGTAGGTTTGATTTCTAGATGACACATAAATTGAAACCAAAAGTTTGAAAGACTATTATTTTAAAATGACATATCCCTGATTTAAAAAAAAAAACAAAAAAAACTAAAAGGTATCTGTAATTTTTGTAAAAGTTGAGATACTTTTATTTTTATATAATTTTTTTTTTTTTGTTAAAATTATTTTTTTGAAGTAGAAAATTCAGTTATTTTCTTCATTTTATTTATTATTTAAAAAAAAAAAGAATAAAACAACAAAACTAGATTATTTAAACAAAGCATTTATATTAGATGAGTTTTAATATGCATAGATATATAAAGACAAAAAAAACTTTTCTTTAGTGTTGCATTTTGTCCTCTGATGGACTTTAACAAGATAAATGCAAAGATTTTATATTGTAACGAGGATTTATAAACAGAAATAAAAATATTGTTAGGTTTTTAAATTTAAGAACGCTCAAAAATATATTTCAGGCTATCTCTGAAAGTCAAACTATGGAGGATTCAAAGTGATGTAATTTAATGCCTAAAACGAAAGTGAGTAAATGGTGAATTTTTTATTTTTTTTTAATATGAAATTCAATAATAACATTTATTCACTTTTGTTTATTAGGCTATTTTTGAAAACTGAGGACATTGAACAAAATTTTTTCTTTTTTTTTCTTTTATAAAATATGAAATTTGTTTTAATATAAACCTTTTTGACAGTTTTTTTTTTAAGCTTCACTGATAACTCCACTGAAAAAAATTAATTGGAACAAGATAATTTTTTAAATAATAGAAATGGTCAACAATTCTATGTGTAAATAATTTTTCTTTTTTGAGATATTTGAGTATTTTTGCTAATCCATTTTCTGGATTTCTTCAATATGAATGTATTTGGTATACAGTTTTGTTGGTCCCACTGTTACCCCCCCCCCCGTTTACTGACTATTGCCCATAATTTATGGCAGTTGTACTCTTTCTGTTAACTCCTGTTAGTGTTTGGCTTTTTAATTTATGCATTCATCTGAAGAAGCCCTAAAAACAGACTGGCCAAATCTGTCTGTATTGAGGAGAAGGGTGGTGGAATTTAATAAAAAGAAAAAAGAAATAATT